TGCCCCGTCAGTAAATACTGAAGATATAAAAACGTTCAGGATTGGAAGAAGAGGTGTTCAACCATCACCACTGAAAGTAATTCTGAATAGACGAGAAGACGTCTATATGGTATTGAAAAATAAACATAAAATAAAAAATTTCTATTTCAACGTTCAGATCAGTACCGATAAGACAATTCTTCAACGTGAATATTTGAAAAAAGTTCTCTTGCAATTCAATGAATGAAAGCAAAATGGCGAGGATAACATATACATTAAATATGTTAATGGCGTTCCTTCTATCAATAAATCAAAGAACTCAATATAAGATTCGCTCACGTGAATATTCGTTCTTTGAATAATTGTTTTGGTAATTTCAAAGACTTTATCAATAATAACAAAATCTCAATAATAATTGGTGTCACGGAAACATGGCTCGCTCCAGAATATCTAGATAAATTTGTTACTATACCTAACTTCAACTTGATACGTATGGACCGTGATGGTAGAGGTGGTGGAGTGTGTTTTTTCATCAAATCGCTCTTTCATCGTATAAATACAAATTATACTACTCTTCTATTTCGCCCACCAAGTTGTTTATCGCCCACCAAGAACAAATGTAGAGGACTGTATGCAGGAGTTAGCTGATGTAGTAGAACGAGTGTATTTGGAAACATCTACTGTGGTGTTAGTTGGTGATATTAATATTAATTTGTTAAACTGTGACTCTCGCGACACTCAACGATTCACTGCCCTAGTTTCTTGTTTCGATATGAATCAAATTGTAGAAAATTCTACTCGGATAACAACAACTTCTGAATCTCTGATTGATGTCATTTGCATTAGTAAGGAAGTAATGGTAAGAAATTGTAATACACTTGATATGAATGGTATAACTGATCACCTAATGGTATTTTGCGATATTGATTTCGAAGGCGAAGATACTTATGATAACTTAATTTTTTTTAGAAATTTCAGGAATTTCAAATGCAAATGCATTGTTCACCATCGCTATCGGAATCACTACACTGGAAAAAGTGTGCGTTGTTATCATACTCTTAATTACTATTGGTAATTGTCCAAGGACGCCACATTTTGAATTGATAACAAAAATTTTAAGTAATTATAACTGCACCAATATCGAATTTCAACACTCAAATCACGATCAGTTCCTGAACTGAACACGACGGCGATAACCATTTCTGCATTCCCCGATTCGTATTCGTCACCTTAACATGACTTCTAATTTAATTTTATAACTCTTCAGCCAATCATAAAACACGGTTTTTGAAAATTATCCAATACAAATTGCCAAATATACAGTCCACGTGGACTAGTTCGCTGCCGGATTATTTCTATCTATTGGTTTTTCTGGCCTTTGAGAGTGCCGCCATCTTTTAATGTGCACAATATCGTTTACTTCGACTATAACTAACTTAATTCCACAATCCACAGTCGACAAGATGCGACAATTCAAATCAAATTCGATTCGGTGGGTATATAGAAAAAAGCAAAGAAATTGTTATGAAATGTGACTGGACCCTTTGATCATTACAATTATGAACTGTGATTATGAATGAATTTAGAGACGATACTGAAAAGTGTTTTTTCAAACGAGGCACAACAATCTTTCAAAAATCTCCAAGTTTAACCTTGGATATGTTGAACGAAATATATTTTGTAGGGATTATGAAAGTGAAACCCAATGCAGAGTTTCATTTGTATTTTTGGAGTTTGGGTTCTGAAAATGATATTTTCAATAATTTCAGTGAAAGAGATTCAATGTTTTATGCATTTTGCATAATCGAGTGACTCTGTGATAATTTCTAATCTTTCAATAAGGGTCCTTATTTTCGCAACATTTCAGGACTGGTTTTGTTACAGGGCACTTCACATGAAAGAACATCCAGACTACAAATACCGTCCAAGAAGAAAACCAAAGCCGCTTATGAAAAAGGAACCCAAATTCGGTTTCTCCATGTCCCCGCTGCTATCTCCCCACCTGGAAAGCTCCGGCCTGCATCGAACCTTCATGCCTCCGATATCTACAGCATCCGGACTACCACATCTGTTGAACCACGACCACGATCACCTCAAACTATCACGAACGCTCTTCCCTCCACTTCCTTACCTCTACCACCCTTTCAGACACCCAGACGAGACCAAGTTTGCTGCAGAGCTGGCTCTATTGTACAGCAACAACCCCATATACCCACCTGGCCTGAACTGGTCGATAAACAACCTCACGAACAACGTCAATGCAAGCGTACCGTGCAATATCTGTCCACCGACGTTCTCCAGGAGGTCGCCCAGTCCTGAAGCCATGAAGAGGCCGGTATGCGTGATCATGAAGAACGAGGAATTTCGAAACGAACCCCTCCCGGCTCATGTTATATGAAAACCGCTTCCGGTTCTTCCGGAGAGGATGAACCTTGGAAGTTGGTTTAGTGATATAGCCAATTTGGCTACCTCCAGCGCTACTACTACCTCATCGGACGTGGGGAACTACAGGGATAGTCATTCGGGCAGGGACAGCAACAGTCCGTGTGACATGAGTGAGAAGGGTAGTTTTCTGAATTGAGGGGTGAAATAACTGTTATTTCATAAATACATGTACACTGTGTTATTCACTTTATTTTAACGAGCTATATAGTATGCTCTTTGGTATAGGTCCGTCATCGTTATTCATAATATTATTGTGTTTACTTATTTCTACACTCTCATAGGCATCTAGTTGCCTGTTGTTGTTAACTTGTCTAACTAATCTTAATGAACTAAAGTCTATGGAATGGTTTTGTTGCAAAATATGATGGGCGACTGCTGACTTTTCAGGTCTTCCATATTTTAAGCCTGCTATGTCTTCTTTATATCTTATTTTAATAGATTTTTTTGTCTCTCCATATTTTGCATCGCAGTCCTTACATTCAATTTCGTAAATTCCAGACTTTTCGAATTCTCGAATTTGTCTTTTGGACTTCCTAAAAGGCTCTGTAGTGTATGACCTTTTTAAAAACCACCTTCATACCTAGTTCCTTGAAAATCATTCCAAAGTTCCTCGTATATTGGTGGTATGGAACTGAGATGTATTTATCTTGATTTTTGTCCCTTCTGAAAGTCGAGATTTCGTTCATTCTTAACCTAAACTTCTTCTTCCTTATTATGTCATCTTCAATACCCCTCGAGAAACCGTTAGTAGCTGCTATTTCCTATATTGTACGACTTTGTGAACCTATCATGTGTTAGAGTGAAAGTCAAAAGACGATGCACTAAAAAATTCAACCCAGCACGTGATGTGAACTGTCAGGAATATTCCTTCGACTTTTCTTTGGTTTCCATTTCGAATCTGCTCATGAACAGGTCATCCAGGTAGGGGGACAAGGGGTATCCCATTGCCGTTCCTTCCTGTTGTTCATAAAAGCAACCTTCTACCTGGAACCAATTTTGTTTTATACACAAATTAGTGAGAGAAACTTGGCTCACTAAGTGGCTCTCTAAGGAATTTGAAACCTTGTCTATTGCGGAACCAAGTTTTACTATGAAAAACTCTTTAGAGTTCATACAACATACAAAAAACGTGGTTCTGCAAGAATGTGAGATTTTGGTTTCTTTTGATGTTAGTTCCTTATTTCCTAGCGTCCCAATTCCACAGACCTTGCAATACCTCAGGGAATTACTAGAGAAAAATAATTTCAACTATAACGAAAACGATGAATTCGTTTCTCTCGTAAAGACAATAATATTATGAATAACGATGACGGACCTATACCAAAGAACATACTTTATAGCTTGTTAAAATAAAATAACGTTGTTGGTTTTACTGGTTACTACATAAGGACACATTGCAAAAATAAATTTG